GAAAAAAAATTTATTCTAATAATAAGAGGCAATGGTTTAGTGGTATTCCAGATATTTATATATGTTAACACTAGGCTGAAGCAGTAATTAAAAAGGCATGACTTTTTATTATTCAAGCTTGATTTTAAGATTTTCAGACTTTCAAGTTCATAAAAATTTGCATGGATTTTCTTCTTATAAAAATTGTTCTTTGAAAAAGTTTTACAGTTGCATAATCATTTCATGAGCTGAAACATTCAAGTTAATTTTCAATGATCTATGCGGCGTCTTTTGTGAATACTTTCTACTATTTCTTTGAAACTTATTTTACGAAGAAAATGCTGAAATTTCAACTTTGCCGAAATATGGCGAAGAGTTCCAGATATGATAAGTGCGAGATATGAGAATTTCAGTTTTGGTAAGTTAAAATTTTAAGTTTTCAGAACGTCTATGTTTTTATCTAACAAATACATTCTGGCGATACTAAAATGATTTTATCGATCTGCTCTGAGCATCCTTCATTTTTAGTCTATGCATTCAGTTTTGCTCATTTTTGAACTTATAAGCATCCATTATTTTTCGACTTTCCGGGTAAACTTTTTGCAGAGTTTTAAATATTCTCTGTTTCTTCTTGAACTCATATACCAATTCGGAAAACAATAAACTATTCTATTTATGGAGAGAAATATATTATTATTCTGTTGCAAAAAATCGGAGCTGTGAAAGCGAATCGCTAGTGGTCAAAACACCAGGTAATGTGTCAAAAAATGAACATTTTTCAGTTTAAAGTAGTTGAGAAATGATTTTTTGAGAGTAAATGATTTACAAAAGTAAATTTCATGAATACGGCCTTGGGACTGAAACTACCATGACTTAAAAATGTTTTCATAATATTTAGAAACACTCTTTAAAATTAAAATATTCAGAAATATTCAGGTTACGATAGTTTTGGGCTATCGACCTTGGACCACGGCCACCGTCATTTCGGTTAAATAAAATATTTTATTCTAAAAATGTGTGTTTAACTCAAAGTCAGAAAAAAGCTGGAAAAAAGTGCAAAGGTCAAATACTTCCTCCACACATTAATCTTATTAACAAAGTCCTCCACCTCTACCAAGATGATGTCGCATTTTCTTCGTCTGCTTCTTTTTCTTGCTTTTTTCGCACATTTTAAATAATTCCAAGGGGTTTTTCTTACTTCCGCGTCTTCTTGCATTCGTTTTTCATCTATTCTGAAAGTAGATAATTACCGAATGATGCATACTTTTTCTTCAAGTCTAGACTATTTTTCTTCAATTGATCCACGAGATGAATTCCTTTTTTCTGTTATTCTTTTTTCCCTTGAAAATAATAAATCCCTGAAGAGTGAAAAGTTAAGACTGAGTTGGTCATGACACCCATACATAGTTCTTGATTTTTGTTTCTCTAAAATTGAAATTCATTTTTTTTTCACTGAAAAAAGGGGAAGGAAATGACAGAGAAAATGTCTCTGGGGAGATGGAATATTTGTGATGGATGGATGGAAACCCGACAAGGAAGATGGAGAAAAAACAGTTGGAGACCGGAGGAAGAGGTTTTTGAAAAAGAGGGATTCAGAATTCGGGTAAAATGGTATTTTTGAGGAATTCGATAATTTTGGAAACTGGGGTAATTCCAGGAGGAACAGCAACAGATCAGTCAGCTGAATAATTTTAATAAAATATTACCGAAACATTTAAAACTATTAATATTATGTTGAAGCTTTGATGTTATTGAATTTTCGTGGCCCGGCTGTTTGAAGGAATTTTGAATAACGGACTTTGGTCGCAATTTCTTCCATTTTTTCAAATCTTTATTCTCATTTAATTTTCACGAAGTTTTGAAATTTTTTGTCCAGTTTTCTAATACACAGGTGATTCGCGAACAATCCGTTACGGACGCTCGAATCGTGTTCTTCAAAGATATCCAACCCAAAAGTTGCCATATCTCTTCTCTCTCATAATCAATCATTTTGTGAATTCACGTATTAGCACACAGTACTTATTCATACACACACCCCGATCGGTACATCTTCTTTCGTTTCCCCCAACTGACTCCTCCCCATTTTTTCGTCAAATGGATCAGTTGATTTAGTGTTAAGTGATACACGCTGCTTCTCAATGAGGCTTCTGCTTA